CATTAATCGGCAGAAGCGCAGAGACTAAGGAAACGGGAAGAAGAGCTGTCTCAGCCTCAGAGGGTAGGACCATGGCTTTGAGGGTGGAACCACCATGGCCCCCTAGGTTTCAAAGAGACCATCACCAACTTGGTTATGGAGTGTGGGGCTGCTCGTTTATGTGGGCCAGTGAGATGGAGCCATAGCTGCTGCCCAAGAGTGAGGGAGCGGGGCTTCCATGCCCAAGAGGTAGAGGAACAGGGCCCGCCAGGCCAAGGGGGTGAGGTCACCACTCGGGAACTAGGGGATTAGAGCCACCCAATGAAGGAGTTCTGTACAGATGCCACACAATGAAGATGTGTACAGGTGTCAAGTTGATAAGGGGTGGAATTGTGGTAGTTAAATTTGTATGTCAACTTGGCTGGGTCTGGTTGAGTGACTGGGCAGCTGGTGGTAGTTATTCCCCATGATGAGACTGTGGTGGGATCTACCACAAGTAGCTGAGTAGCTGCCTTTGGGGTGTGGTCTGCTTTCTGTTTATAAGGAGAAGCCTTGGGGATAGTCTCTAGTCTGTGGCACACTTGGAACCTGCATATAGCTGTATCGTTGTTCAGCAGCCTGCCATGCTCTGCCCACCTTGGGACTTAAAATGGACTTGAATTAATGGCCTGCCGTGTGGTTTGGTAATATCGGGACTGTGCCTTTTTACTTGTCAACCTTGGGCTTGTTAGCCTCAGCAGTCAGAAGCTGCCTGAGTGAAGAGATGCCTCTAGCTCCAGTGGGCTGGAAGCAAGAGGCAGAGCTGAAGCCCAAGGTTGAGGGGTTTTCACCCAGCCCCTAGAACCTGGCACTTTGAACTTGGACTTAAAGCCTCCAAACTGTGAGAGAATAAACTCCTGTTGTTAAGGCCATCACATTTGTGGTGTATATTCCTGTCAGAGCGGCACTAGGTAACCAGAACAGGGTGCTACAGGAACACAGAGATGGAATCTCTAAATCATAGTGGGATTAGAGGATGTATTCTGGAAAAGAGTTTTTATTTTTTCTTAAGCTGAGATCTGCATAAAAATGGAGTTGGCTAAGCAAAGAATGTAGAGGAGAAAATATTCTAAGCAGAGAGAACAGCATTATGTGAAGGCAGAGACCCAAAATTACATGGCAGGATTGAGAAACAGGTTAGTTGAGATGCAATTAAGTGTACATGTTGGTGAGTTGACTGATGATGTGTTTAGAGAGGTGTAGGCAGGAGTCAAATTATAAAGGGCTTTATGTGCCAAGCTTAAAAGTTTTTACTTTGCCAAAGGAATTAAGCAGATCTCTGTTTCAGAAAAATTATTCTAGTAACAGTGCAGGGAATAGATAAGAGGGGCAGAAATATTAGAGACAGGGTGACCACTTAAGCTCATTTGGTAATCAGGCAAAAATAATTTTAGAGCCTGAATAATGAGGAGATAAACTCCAAGGATACTGAGGTTAGAATTTCTAAGAGTCAAATAAGATAGAGCAGCAACAAGGATATAAGATGCTTACTACTACTAGGTACTATATACAAAATAATTTCTTTTGTGTAAAACTTTGTTGGTTCAGCCAAATATGAACTTGCCTCTCTTTTAATTCTTTCCACTTAGACAGGTAGTTAATATTCATTTAGTAAAATGTATGATACTAGTTATGAAAATGAAAGCAATTGTTAAAACTACACGGAATGCAAAAGTTGGAAACAAAGAAGAATCACCGGTAGTTGGAAAATTTGGCCTTGGTGACAGAAATAATGCTGGAACTCGTATGGTAGAATT